GACCTCCTCTAGAGGGGTTCCACACGAGCTGTAAACCTCCTCTAGAGGGGGCTCCACAGGAGCTGTAAACCTCCTCTAGAGGGGACTCCACGGGAGCTGTAAACCTCCTCTAGAGGGGCTCCACAGGAGCTGTAGACCTCCTCTAGAGGGGCTCCAGTGGAGCTGTAAACCTCCTCTAGAGGGGCTCCACAGGAGCTGTAGATCTCCTCTAGAGGGGCTCCACAGGAGCTGTAAACCTCCTCTAGAGGGGCTCCACAGGAGCTGTAAACCTCCTCTAGAGGGGCTCCACAGGAGCTGTAAACCTCCTCTAGAGGGGGCTCCACAGGAGCTGTAAACCTCCTCTAGAGGGGCTCCACAGGAGCTGTAAACCTTCTCTAGAAGGGCTCCACAGGAGCTGTAGACCTCCTCTAGAGGGGCTCCACGGGAGCTGTAAACCTCCTCTAGAGGGGTTCCACACGAGCTGTAAACCTCCTCTAGAGGGGGCTCCACAGGAGCTGTAGACCTCCTCTAGAGGGGCTCCACAGGAGCTGTAAACCTCCTCTAGAGGGGCTCCACGGGAGCTGTAAACCTCCTCTAGAGGGGGCTCCAGAGGAGCTGTAAACCTCCTCTAGAGGGGGCTCCACAGGAGCTGTAGACCTCCTCTAGAGGGGCTCCACGGGAGCTGTAAACCTCCTCTAGAGGGGCTCCACAGGAGCTGTAAACCTCCTCTAGAGGGGGCTCCAGAGGAGCTGTAAACCTCCTCTAGAGGGGACTCCACAGGAGCTGTAAACCTCCTCTAGAGGGGACTCCACAGGAGCTGTAAACCTCCTCTAGAGGGGACTCCACAGGAGCTGTAAACCTCCTCTAGAGGGGGCTCCACTGGAGCTGTAAACCTCCTCTAGAGGGGGCTCCACAGGAGCTGTAAACCTCCTCTGGAGGGGCTCCAGTGGAGCTGTAAACCTCCTCTAGAGGGGCTCCACAGGAGCTGTAAACCTCCTCTAGAGGGGGCTCCACAGGAGCTGTAAACCTCCTCTGGAGGGGCTCCAGTGGAGCTGTAAACCTCCTCTAGAGGGGCTCCACAGGAGCTGTAAACCTCCTCTAGAGGGGGCTCCACGGGAGCTGTAGACCTCCTCTAGAGGGGGCTCCACAGGAGCTGTAAACCTCCTCTAGAGGGGGCTCCAGTGGAGCTGTAGTCCTCCTCTAGAGGGGGCTCCACAGGAGCTGTAAACCTCCTCTAGAGGGGCTCCACAGGAGCTGTAGTCCTCCTCTAGAGGGGGCTCCACAGGAGCTGTAAACCTCGTCTAGAGGGGCTCCACTGGAGCTGTAAACCTCTAGAGGGGCTCCACAGGAGCTGTGAACCTCCTCTAGAGGGGCTCCAGTGGAGCTGTAGTCCTCCTCTAGAGGGGCTCCACAGGAGCTGTAAACCTCTTCTAGAGGGGGCTCCACAGGAGCTGTAAACCTCCTCTAGAGGGGCTCCACAGGAGCTGTAGACCTCCTCTAGAGGGGCTCCACAGGAGCTGTAAACCTCCTCTAGAGGGGCTCCACAGGAGCTGTAAACCTCCTCTAGAGGGGGTTCCACAGGAGCTGTAAACCTCCTCTAGAGGGGGCTCCACGGGAGCTGTAAACCTCCTCTAGAGGGGTTCCACAGGAGCTGTAAACCTCCTCTAGAGGGGGCTCCACAGGAGTTGTTAACCTCCTCTAGAGGGGCTCCACTGGAGCTGTAGACCTCCTCTAGAGGGGTTCCACACGAGCTGTAAACCTCCTCTAGAGGGGGCTCCACAGGAGCTGTAAACCTCTAGAGGGGCTCCACAGGAGCTGTAAACCTCCTCTAGAGGGGCTCCAGTGGAGCTGTAAACCTCCTCTAGAGGGGGCTCCACAGGAGCTGTAAACCTCTAGAGGGGCTCCACAGGAGCTGTAGACCTCCTCTAGAGGGGCTCCACAGGAGCTGTAAACCTCCTCTAGAGGGGGCTCCACAGGAGCTGTAAACCTCCTCTAGAGGGGCTCCACAGGAGCTGTAAACCTTCTCTAGAGGGGGCTCCAGAGGAGCTGTAGACCTCCTCTAGAGGGGCTCCACAGGAGCTGTAGACCTCCTCTAGAGGGGCTCCACAGGAGCTGTGAACCTCCTCTAGAGGGGGCTCCACAGGAGCTGTAAACCTCCTCTAGAGGGGCTCCACAGGAGCTGTAAACCTTCTCTAGAGGGGCTCCACAGGAGCTGTAAACCTCTTCTAGAGGGGCTCCACAGGAGCTGTAGACCTCCTCTAGAGGGGCTCCACAGGAGCTGTGAACCTCCTCTAGAGGGGGCTCCAGTGGAGCTGTAGACCTCCTCTAGAGGGGTTCCACACGAGCTGTAAACCTCCTCTAGAGGGGCTCCACGGGAGCTGTAAACCTCCTCTAGAGGGGACTCCACAGGAGCTGTAGACCTCCTCTAGAGGGGCTCCACAGGAGCTGTAAACCTCCTCTAGAGGGGGCTCCACAGGAGCTGTAAACCTCCTCTAGAGGGGGCTCCAGTGGAGCTGTAAACCTCTTCTAGAGGGGGCTCCACAGGAGCTGTAAACCTCCTCTAGAGGGGCTCCACAGGAGCTGTAAACCTCCTCTAGAGGGGACTCCACGGGAGCTGTAAACCTCCTCTAGAGGGGCTCCACAGGAGCTGTAAACCTCCTCTAGAGGGGACTCCACGGGAGCTGTAAACCTCCTCTAGAGGGGGCTCCACAGGAGCTGTAAACCTCCTCTAGAGGGGCTCCACAGGAGCTGTAAACCTCCTCTAGAGGGGCTCCACAGGAGCTGTAAACCTCCTCTAGAGGGGACTCCACAGGAGCTGTAAACCTCCTCTAGAGGGGCTCCACAGGAGCTGTAAACCTCTTCTAGAGGGGGCTCCAGTGGAGCTGTAAACCTCCTCTAGAGGGGCTCCAGTGGAGCTGTAGACCTCCTCTATTGGGGGCTCCACTGGAGCTGTAAACCTCGTCTAGAGGGGCTCCAGTGGAGCTGTAAACCTCCTCTAGAGGGGCTCCACAGGAGCTGTAAACCTCCTCTAGAGGGGGCTCCACAGGAGCTGTAAACCTCCTCTAGAGGGGCTCCACAGGAGCTGTAAACCTCCTCTAGAGGGGGCTCCACAGGAGCTGTAAACCTCTAGAGGGGCTCCACAGGAGCTGTAAACCTCCTCTAGAGGGGGCTCCACAGGAGCTGTAAACCTCTAGAGGGGCTCCACAGGAGCTGTAAACCTCCTCTAGAGGGGGCTCCACAGGAGCTGTGAACCTCTAGAGGGGCTCCACGGGAGCTGTAAACCTCCTCTAGAGGGGCTCCAGTGGAGCTGTAGACCTCCTCTGGAGGGTATTTTTTCGGCTTACCCTTCCACGCTGGTCGGTACGTCTTGGAATATGTCAGGGACTATCCACACTTTACCCCACATAGTGTTCTGATTGACAGGCTGGGTGGACAGATAGTTGTGGTGGGGCGGGCGGGAGGGAGGGAGGGATGGGATGGAGGGGGATTTAAGAAAATTGCGCCATCATCTGCGTTGCTGGGAGCTTTGGTGTCGAGCGGGTGGCCGCTGCGTTGCGTTACCGGTGTGCTCACCGTGACACCGGGGGGTATCTCAGTGGCTAGGAGATGTCCTCTCTCTCACCCGGCATGCAGGAGGTTGCGGCTTTGATCGTGACCCTGACGCCTGTTGTATATTTGGAGTTTGCACGTCTCCCTCTCTCCCCATTGGTAGCGTGGAATCAACATCACGCGTTTAGACTTTGGCTGCTATAAATTTCCACGTGATGATTAGGCACTTTATGAGACCTCCTTTGCCAGTAGCAAGATATAGTAATTGGTTTCTACCCTTTTATCTGGCACCAAAACTGACACCTTTATACAAGGGATCATGTTTGCAGTAACCACAACACAAGCAGCCAAAATTCAAACAAAAAGATACAACTCTGATAATGATATTGGCACTGTCCTTGAATTTGATTGGTCCACACCCGAGACGGCTTTTCTTAGAGCCTAGTCTCCACTGGTGTTGGACCAGATGACACCAAAAGGCATACAACTCTAAAAACAGCGCACTATCAGAGTATTGAGAGCTCAATGTAAATGCTCTGATAATGATATGCACAAGGACAGTGCATATCATTATAAGAGTTGTCTCTTTTTTGTTTGCATTTTTACTGCTTGTGTTGTGGTAATTGCAAACATGATCCCTTGTATAAAGGTGTCAGTTTTGGTGCCAGATGAAAGGGTAAAAACCTATTACTAGATTAGCCACTTTGTTGAGCTATCGTTTGTGGCTGGGTTGCTTCTGAAAAAAAGCTACATAGCTCATAGGGCCTTACCTTGGTCAAATAAAATAAAACAAGTTGAATAAGTTTGATAGTTTTAACTCCACCGCGGGAAGCAGCAGCAGCAGCATCCCTCACTGGGGACCACAGCGCAAAAAAAAGAAAGTTATCACCATTAAACCGTCGTTGTTGTCGTAGTTGTCGTGGTTGTTGTTGTGGTCGTTGTTGTGGTGGTTGTTGTTGTGGTTGTTGTTGTGGTTGTTGTGGTTGTTGTCGTGGTTGTTGTTGTGGTCGTTGGTGTGGTTGTTGTGGTTATTGTGGTGGTTGTTGTTGTGGTCGTTGTTGTGGTTGTTGTGGTTGTTTCGGTTGTTGTTGTGGTTGTTGTTGTGGTTGTTGTTGTCGTAGTTGTCGTGGTTGTTGTTGTGGTCGTTGTTGTGGTCGTCGTTGTGGTTGTTGTTGTGGTTGTTGTTGTGGTTGTTGTGGTTATTGTGGTGGTTGTTTTTGTGGTCGTCGTTGTGGTCGTCGTTGTGGTTGTTGTTGTGGTTGTTTCGGTTGTTATTGTCGTGGTCATTGTCCTAATTGTGGTTGTTGTTGTGGTTGTATTTGTTATGGTTGTAGTGGACGTTGTCGTTGTTGTGTTGTCGTCATTTGTGGTTGTTGTAGTGTTGTTGTGGTCGTGGTTGTCGTAATTTTTTCCGTTGTGGGTGTTATTGTCATTGTGCTTGTTGCCGTTGTGGTTGTTGTTGCGGTGAGCAGGCGTTCATCCGGCCGTTCCGCGAGCACCACATCGACCCGACCGCCATCACGCGGCACGACCTCGTCGAGACCAACGGGGACAACTGCCTCGCCACGCTGCTGCCGCTCTCCCACATGGCCTACAAGTTCCACACCCTGTCCCCCGGTGCGTCCCCGCACGCAAAGCCACGCACCCCGAAGGCGGAACACCGGATCATCGCGCGGCGCTTTCCCGCGCGCTTGCGCGGCCGTCTGGAACGCTCTTCCTTCTGAAGGATTGACAAACTCGTGTCCTTCCCCCCCCCCCCCCCCCCCCGCACCTCCGATTAGCACGGTTGGCTACGTACATTGCGAAAGAAGTCTAACATTCGTACATTCCCCGTATAGCCTGAACAGACTGTTGGGGCAAGTGCCGTTAGCCAGTAGCAACACCGGTGAAGGCCGGTACGGCACACGAGGGGGCGGGTGGCCAGCACCAGACTCGGTCGTCTTTGTCTCCCAAGTGGTGATGTTTACGCGTCGCACCAGGTACCTGTTTGAGGCTGAGTAGACCTAGGGGAGGATCGGGACCACTTCACATATTCGTCACAGATGTTGTCTGTGGGTGGGAATAGAACTCGGGTCGCCGGGTCCATAGTGTAATGTGCTAACCACTGTGCCGCCACTCCCTTTTTACATCACACCATGTACTAAAACTATAAACAATGCACTTTTTATTTTACCAGGTAATGCCTACTGAGCGAAAAAATAATTTTCAGACGCGACCTGGCCACAAATGATAGCTCAACAAAAAATGGCTTATCAAGTGGAAATTTAAAGCAGCATCCAAAGACTCTAAACGCGCGATGATGTTGATTCCAAATGTGGAGAGGAAAAACCGGAGAGAGACACCGCAAACTCCAAATGTACAGCAGGCGTCAGGGTCGGGATAGAACCCACGACCTCCTGCATACCAGGCGAGGGAGTCAACATCTCCTAGCCACCGCAGCACCCATCATTGGATGCCGAGTCGAGGCCCCGAGGACCTGTTTGAGACATTTGCTGTCACCGGTGCTGGCTGTGAGCGGGAATCGAACTCTGGTGGCCTGGTTCGGAGCGCAGTGCCTTGATAACCGCCGTGCCCGCGTTGCGCTCGCTCGCCCGCTCGTCGCTTGGTTCTGATTTTGGGTGCAAGCGAAAATTAAACAAAACCACGAGCATGAGAAATCGATTTCCGTTGCAAGCCACCGGCGCCGAGCCAAATTGCCCGCGGTGCGATGCGAGTTGAAAGGCCACCACGCAATCGCACAAAGACAAAAGATCCCCAGCGTAGACTCAACAGGCTGTAGGGGCAAGTGCTGTTAGCGAGTAGCACCTGTGAAGGCCGGCATGGCACACGAGGGGGTGGGCGGCCAGCACCACGCCCGACCGCCTTTGTCTCCCCAGTAACGATGTTTTACACATCGCACCAGGTACTTTGTTTTAGGTCCACCTAGGGGAGGCCCAGGATTGGTTCAGATATTCGCCACTGTTTTTGGTCGTGAGCAGGAATTGAACTCGGGTCGTCGGGTTTGTAGCGCAGTGCGCTAACCGCTGCGCCACTGGTCCCACACCACTCTACACACAACTGCACACACATGCACACAGAAACAGAGAGTTGTTTGTTTTCCTGAACATAACGTTTGATAAACTGTCAGCGCCTCTAACAAACGTCCACATAGGTGTTGACGATTGCGTGTGGCTATAAAAAACAGTATAGGGGTGGCCGGGGGCAAGGGGTTTTAATTGCCTTGCCTGGTGTACAGGACGTCATGTGTTCGACCCTGACGCCTGTATGGTTGGAGTTTGCATGTCTCTCTCCCCGTATTCACGTGGATTTTTCTCCGAGTCCTCCGGTTTCTTCCCTTCCACATTTAGAATGAACGTGACACGTTTGGAGTATTCGGCCGCCGTACATTCCCACGCGATAAGCTACTTCGTTGGGCTATCATTTGTGATAGCTAGGTCTCTTCTGAAAAATAGCTCAGTGGGCCTTATGGGGTAAAATAAAAATTGTTTAATAGACATATAGTTTTGTTTAATGTGAAGGTACAGATACGTGAGTGATGTGGAGTGCCTGGGTCCTGGGTTATTATCGCTCTGCCCAGGGGATCGGTGACCGAAGTAACAAGAGGAGTAATTTATTTATTTTCGAATTCGGTAAAACAAAAAAACTAAACCTCTACTTCAAGAGCCACAGTGCTCGTGATGGATACGAGAGGGGATGGTCCTTCGTAAATAACGTGACAAAGCGGTCCTCAAAGAGCTATCGCATCCGGCTCCGGGCTGTGGCGTTCCAAGTCCTGTACCACTTTTAAATTGCAAACATTTTCCACGTGGTGTTCAGTTGGTGCTCACACCGTTTTAAATTGAATGATAATAGCAGCCTGGGTGGGTACTGGATTTGAAGTAAATTGATTTTATTTTAATTGTTCTGATTAAAAGGAAACATGTTGCTTTGTCTCTTAACTTTGATTTTTAAATATGTCATTGTGTAGTTTTAATGTAGGGTTAGTAACACTTAGTCTGTGCTGCTCTCCAGTTGCCTGGGTGACGAGTGGGCTCGGCTTTGCCCAGCCCTGTCTCTCTCTACAAACTTAGTCGGCTAACGGGCTGTGCGTGCGTGAGCCGGGACGACGTCCCACGGTTAGCTCCACGCTGTCCAAAGCTTCCTCGGGAACAGAAACGGAAGCGGCTGTCTTCGGGACTCGAGGATCGGACCGCCAGCGCCCGACTTTCTCGACTCGCACCCTGCCCCCCACCGCCCCCCCCCCCCCCCCTCCGCAGAGGCGGTGCGTGAGACGTACGCGTGGGAGTGCTACGTGTTTGCGCTGGCCGTGTTCGTCACGCTCACCAACCAGATCCACAAGTGGTCCCACACCTACTTCGGGCTGCCGCGCTGGGTCACCGCGCTGCAGGCGGTGCACATCGTCCTGCCGCGCCGCCACCACCGCGTGCACCACGTGGCGCCGCACGAAACCTACTTCTGCATCACCACCGGTGAGCGGCGCACCGCGGCACTTGGCCGTCACCGCCGCCATCGCAATCACCGCCACCAACACCGCCGCCGCCATTATCACCGCCATCGTCGCCGCCGCCGCCGCCGCCGCCACGCGTACCCCAGCTGCATCGTCACCGACGGCGAGCCGCGCACCGCTACCTTGTGCTAGCCGGACCGCTCCTGCCCTCAACCCCCACCCACCCCCTGCCCACCCCCTGCCCCAGGCTGGCTGAACTACCCCCTGGAGTTCCTGGGCTTCTGGCCGAGGCTGGAGAGACTCATCGAGGCGGTGACGGGCGAGAAGCCGCGCGCGGACGACTTCAAGTGGACACAGAAGGTCAAGTAGCCTCAGCCTCTGTGGTGGACTCGCCCGCTCGTCCGCCCGCTCGTCCGCCCGCTCGTCCCTCCGTCCATCGGCTTCCGGGTCGTCCCAGGCTCCACGGCTCATCTGGACGCGAGCCCCCGGCTCCCCTCGCTCCCGTGGCGCCCCCCCCCCCCCCCCACAAACAAAACCATGCGCCCTGCACCTCGTCGTGAAGAGTGGATGGCGGGGGGGGCAGGAAGAGCGGCGGGGGGGAGGGGAGGTGGGGAGACGCGACGGAGAGACGGCAGCCACCACCGAGTGAACCCCAGAGAGGGTGCGAGCGAGCGCGCTGTGTGCACCTAGCCTGGCACAAGCGCTGCGACGACGACGTCTCCCGTCACGTAGCGCCGAATGTCGGCTGTTTTTGTTGTGTAGTGCACGTGTGTGAGTGAGGGTAGTGTAATGGTGTGTGTTGGTGGCGGTCGTGCGCTTAGGTGTGCGTGTGTGGGTATGGGTGTGCAAGGGTGTTGCCGGAGATTGTGTGAGTGTGGGGAGCGGTGGCACGGTGGGTTAGCGCTGCACTTGCTCCATGAAGCCAGCGATTCAAGTTCAATTTCCCGACCACAGCGGACATGGGTGGCGATCATCAGAACCGCTGCTGGCACCCTCCCATAGGTCGACTCAGCATGAATACTAGGGAGACAAAGGCGGATCGGCGTGGTTGCGGCCACACCCCCTCTTTGTACACCAAGCTTGCCTTCGTAGGTGCTGCTCGCTCACAGCACTTACTCCAACAGCCTGTGAAGGCTGTTGGAGTAAGTGCTGCTCGCTCACAGCACTTACTCCAACAGCCTGTGAAGGCTGTTGGAGTAAGTGCTGCTCGCTCACAGCACTTACTCCAACAGCCTGTGAAGGCTGCACGGGTGATCTGTCTATGCGTGTGGGGAGATGCTAAATGCACTTTCCCCAACAGTCTGTACGACTATCGGGGTTTTTTTTTGTCTTTGTGGTGGAGGAAGGGGGGGAGGCGGCGTTGTTGTTGTTGTGTGCTGTGCTGTGCTGTTCTTGGTAATGGTGGTGGTTGGTGGACGACGACGTGGTGGCCGTGGTGAAGCTGACAATGGATTTGTTCGACCCACCTCCACCGCTCGTGACGTGGGGAGGTAACTCATCCAGCAGCGGAGTGACGGGGGGAGGGGGCGGAGGGTGATCACACAATGCACAATTTGTGAACGTAGGCTGTTGTGAGCGACGGGCGATGGTGTGAGATGCACACACAGGGTCTTTAACATCAACTTTGGTGGTGTCGGGGACCGTCGGGTGAGCCAATGAGAGAGTCGTTTGGTTCAGTCATAGGAGACTGTGTCTTGCCAGATCATGAATTAAGATGTTCCGCAGAGTAAGACACACCTCATAAAGTGATGCACACACGTACGTACACACACACTATACGTGCATACACGTGTACACACACACACTATACGTGTACACACACACACACTATACGTGCACACACATGTACACACACGTACCAGTGACGTGCGGTAAGCTCAATGGCTGGGGAGGCACTGGCGAGTGTCAGTCACACACTGAGGGGGGCGTGGCCTCACTGAGGGGGCGTGTTAGACACGTCCCCCTCAGTGAGGCAGATGTGATAGCTGCCTCCCCTGGTGCTTTTTCATTGCATGACGAGACCAGCGAGCCTAAATATCTTTATACACACACGTGAAATAAGTTACCTGGAGTATGGAAGGCGAGGACATGAAATGAAGGGGTCTACAAACATTACATTGGTGACGTACTGAGATAGTAACAGGCACGGGCTTATTGCCCGTGCTCCAGCCAGTTACTGAGGGGTTGCGCAATCAGAGGGGAGGCTGAGCTCATCGCTGCCTCACCTCTCGTCTCTTCCTGTATTTGCAGCGGAGCTCCGCAAATTTGTCGATTTTTACGTTAAAAATGATTGGAATTGTACAGAAATGACATTTATAACACAGATCAGTGGAAAAATCATAATATTTATTTTATTTTATTTATCTTTTTTCTACTTTTCGTAACAGCTATTTTCATTGGAGTATGACAGGTGAGGCTCTGCCTCCCCCTGTCTCCCCTGACTGCACGTCCCTGATACGTACACACACACGTACACACACACGTACACACACACGTACACACACACGTACACACACGTGCACACACGTACACGTACACACACATGTACACACACACGTACACACACGTACACACACGCGCGCGCACACCGAGCGGACGATGGGATTCCCGCCCGGCTTCGACTTCAACACACCGCGGAAACAGTGCCGTGGGAATCTAGGGGACACCGTACATTCAACCAGACGACATGCAACGAGTCTATATACAACGAGTCGATATACAAGCAGTCAGAGGTGAGGGTTCCTGGGAATTCCAGAGTAGGTGGCAATCCCGGGCGAGTGATGGAGCGTTCCACCACCGGGGCTTGTAACCGACGGAAGCTGCGTCTTCACGAGGCGGCGAGGTGTGGAGAGGAGCGGTGTTTATTTCGCGGGGGCCCGCGGTGATTGCCACTTGTGGTGGTGGGGGGGGGGGACTGTGCCCAAATTGCTTGACACAGTTGCAGGAGCCGCAGATTTAAATAACTCTCGCTCGGCGATCGGATTAGCGCCGCGGCGGCGGCGGTGGTGGTGGTGGTGGCAGCGGCAGCAGATTACACAGCAAGATGGGAAGGAGTGGAGGGGGAGAGAGGGGGAGACAAAAACCCCAATCAAGCGCGTGGCCACGGGACCACCTTACTCATTCCGATGCCTTGCCAGAACAATTCCCACAACAACAAAAACCAGAATCTCCCCAAACAGGCCGCTAGCACCCTGGCACACACACACCACCACCACCACATCCAGTATATCTCTCTCGCGATGTCGTGCGTCGTGGAAGGTGAATCGTTACCGCGACGAGCGTGCGTTGTTTCCCGTGTTCTCGTGTTCATGTAGCGTGCGCGCTTTGCTGCTGCTGCTGCTGTTGCTGCTGCTGTTGCTGCTGCTGCTGGTGTTGCTGCTGCTGCTGTTGCTGCTGCGTGTTTCGTAAATGCCTTATATTGCCTGCGTCGACGTCTCCACGCCAGAGTCGCCGCTTCTGTGCTCAGCTCTTGGCTGCCGCAGTGGCTGCTGCTGCTGCTGACTTGGCTCGGCCAAATATTCGTTTTGCTTTTCCCCATTTTCCTCTTCAGCATCCCCTGCTGTTGGAAGCGCCCAGGCAGTCGGGGACGAATTATTTTCGAATTTCTCGGGGCGTCGATTATTTTTTTGCCAGTTTAAAAGTGGGGAAAAGCAAATGTGTGATGATGTGTTTTTGTTTTTGTTGTTAAGCCATCGGCGGCTGAGGCCCCGAGCTTTGAGAAGCCGGTTCAACCACAGGCGGCTGGAACCCGGCTTTTATGAACCCCTTTAGCCATCCAAACAACCACTCTGTGGTACGCATTTTATCTACCCTCTGCGGACGGAAGGGCTGACGCCATCCAATCATCGGCAGCCTTGATCGATCCACTGCTGGATCAAGGTAAAATAAAAAAATGAATTTGAAAAACTCTGGGGGATCTCCCTCCCAAGTTCCCTCGTCCCCCACCCCTAAGTCGTACCCACTCCAGTCGTCGGGTGCCAGGTGGTGTAGCCTGTGAGCACTATGAGACGTGTTACTGCTCGTGTCGATGTGCACTATGGGAGAGAAACGGCACCCAGTTGTGCTGCTTACACTGAACACGCACTCGTCGGTGTATTCGCGCGTCGGGGATTATCCGAACCGTTCTTGGGCCTCCCCTGGGTCGACTCAGCCTCAAATGAGTAACTGGTGCGGTGCGTAAACATCGCCAGTCGAGAGACAAAGGCGGCCGGGCGTGGCGCTGGCCACCCACCCCCTCGTGTACTTCACAAGTGCTCGCTAACAGCACTTGCCCCAGAGGGTCTGTCAAGGCTACACGGCGCGTGGCGGGGGTTCTTTGTGGGTCGCCAGATGTGCGGGACAGGTTCGTGTGGGCCACTCGGAATCATGGAGCGGTGACGAATGGCGAGCGAGTCGCGAGGCATGTGGTGTGGACCTGCTCGCGGGTGTTGATGAAGAGCGTGCCACGTGCTGACGTCGTCTCCGCGGCAGACGGAGTCGAGAGCCCATTGGCAGGAGTCGGAGTCCCTTGTGACCGGCGTGCTTTATTGAACCAGTTGTCCCACCACGTGGAGATGGCACCGCGGATGTACAGGGGTGGTCCAGATGTCTTGTGACCCCCCCTCCCCCAATTCGTTGACCCTAACAGTTTTTTTCATTTTGCGTATTCATTTATGTTTTCTAAACAAACCTCACAAGAAACTGTTAAGTTTTAAGAGAATGGAGTACCCTGTAGGGGACCGGCTGATATCGCGAACCGAGATCCATTCCCGCCCCCAAACGTCACCATGGCAACGGGGATGCTAATTCAGTGCACGCTGTCTGCACAAACAAACACATCCAGCATCAGGTGTCGATGTTTATTGTTGTACAGTCCCGTCAGCCTGTCGACCTTGCCGCACTCGCGACGACAGTGTGTTGAAGCACGCAAACTCTGGAAGGGATTGAGTTGTGTTGGGCGTCGTCAGCAGACGCGGTGGCTATGAGATGTTAACTACCTCGCCGGGTGTGCAGGAGGTCCGTGGGTTCGAACCCGACCCAGACGATTCCTGTGTCTTTGGAGTTTGCGTGTCTCTCTCTCCCTGTGGTCGCGTGGATTTTTCTTCTCCGGGTTTTCCCCCTCCACATTGAGAATCAACATCACGCGTTTAGAGTAATTTTGGCCGCTTATACATTTCCACACGATAAGCCAATTCAATTAGTCGAACTCGCATTCTGTGATGGGCAGGTCGCTGCTGGGAAGAAAATAAATCTACATAGCTCAGTGGAGCCTTAACTGGTAAACAAAAAATAATTGGTTAAAACACAAAACCGCGTAAAGAATGCGAGCGGGGCCGCCAGCTGCTCTTGCCTCGGCCTCTGGCATCGCCACCACGATGGGGGGTGGGTGGGGGGCTGTTGAGCTGGAGGGGGAAACAAAGCAATAATGTAGAAACTGTCATGGCGTGATCACGATGATGATGTTATTGTTGTTGTTGAGCGTGAGTGATTGTAGAATTAGTCCCGCGTGCTCGCCGCCGCAGCAGCAGCAGCAGCAGCCCCTC